TGATGCCAAATACTAACAGCGAGATCTGCGTGTGAGATATCCGCGGGGCAGAGAGAAGAGGGAAAGAAGTTGGATGCGCATCGTCTTGTGCGGTGTGCGCAGCGCTGACATCCAGGCCGGCGTGCTGACGGCGTGCTGCCGGAGGAGGAGGAAGAGGAGGAGGACGAAGGGGACCCTGCACCGGGGATACTGTAGGCATCACACTTTCACCGAAGGGGATTGGAGAGTTGGATGCGCGATGCGGGCTTCTGTGTAGGAGGAGAGTCCCGCTGCGCCGCGGACCCGATTAGCGGGATTCACAGCTGTGCTCGTGCAGATGTGACATTGTGCAGGTGTACAAGCAGCTCAGCGTGTCCGTCGCCAACTCACAGAGAGGAGGTGCATGAGTGGGATTGACCAGAGGCGCCTGCAGTGAGGTGGAGACAACTTTGAATTATCAGCCTTTTTTTTTCTCCTCTTTTTATTTGGGCTAACATCTGTACAGATGTTGCTCTTTAGAAAAGCGCAGGTTGTACCCGTGCACACACACACACATTTGGGTGCTGCATCGTGTGCTGGGATGCTGTCAGTTTATTGCATGCGAGAAGCTCTGTCACGAGCAGCTGTCTCCTCAGAGATGTTTGCCATTTAGTTTCCACACTGAAAACAGCAACGAGAAGCAGCTGTTTGTTCGTTTAGACCTCTTTAATTGTACAGATTCCAAAGTCCTCCGGGGGGCAAATTTGTGATTTTTGGTTGCAGGAAAACAAATGTAATAAACGCCGCTCTGATAAGAAGCCGCCAGTGAAGATTGCAGTTCCTGTGCTTTTGGACGTGTTGTTTCAGGAATGGGCGATGGAATGTGCTGCAGCTCCGCAATGAGACGTCTGTGGGTCTGCGTCCTGCTTGTGAGCATCGCCTGCCGTCTGAGGTGAGAACTGACTGCTGGGAACTTGGTCTTCAACAACCTCCGACGGAAGAGATACACATTTAAAAAAAAAAAAAAAAAAAGCTCTGGTTCTGTTTTTTCTTGAATGATTGAAATGCATTTTTTTTCAAGTTGGCTTTTTGAAAGTGAGTCTGACTTTGAGGGGGGGGGGGTGTTCTCACCTGCAGCCTCGCCCAGGATGTAGCCGGAACCCCCAAAGAGGCCGAACTGAACGACAACATCACCATCTTCACGCGCATCCTGGACGGCCTGCTGGACGGGTATGACAACCGACTGCGGCCTGGACTGGGAGGTAGGCTCCCCGGACGCCTCCACGCCTCCACGGCGCTGTCATTTCCTCCACATTTCATTAATTGGGACGACCACACAGATGGCGGGGGAGACCCGAACATGTCATTCTATAAATGTCTCATGCGCCGAGCTCCAGACTGTGATGGAAGAAGATTTGTTTGGATAGATGAGAGCCACGCGGAGAACATCTGTCTCCTCATTCCACCCGAGAACACGTGTCTGCCTCCTCTACGTGTGGTTTGATGTCACAGTGAGCTGAAAGTGTGCCGCCGTGACCCTGAGGGGGGCCGATATTCCTGATAAAACAGCAGCTTTATTGTTGGCGTAGATGCTCCGTAGATTCTCTGAAAAGATGCTGAATCTGGTCTTTAAAATAAAAAGAGGACACTTGTCTTTTTCTGCCGCTCTGTGCTTTTAGTGTCTTAATGCTTTAATGAAATAGATCACATTTAGATCGCAACACCAATAGACTTTGTACAGTGAACGCTATTAGCATCCGAACATCCCACTTTGAGGTGCACATTTCCCCGTTGTCTGCATCACGATGGTCATGCGTACACAGCAAAATCCTTAGCGTTCATTTTCCGGTGTTTGGCAAAAGTGTTGAAGTGCAGAGTTGAAATCACACTGCAAAAAGTTGATTCAACTCTTAGAGAGTCAATTGTAGGAAAGAGCTGGAGTCATTAGGGGGGATCAGATTCATCCAGCGACACTCAGTAGAGTTAAATTAACTCTTTGATAGGTTTGAAATGTAACTGTGCAGCGTCACACCTCTTGGTGTTGTACTGTGGCGCGTGGAGTAGAGATGGCGAGCTGGGAACCACAAGGTTGGCGGTTTGAATCCCGGCTGCTACGTATCCCAGGTTCAAAGTGTCCCTGAGCAAGACACCTAAGCCCTAATTCCTCAGCAGGCTGAAATGTAGAAACCATGGGTTAAAAATGCAATGTAAGTTGCTTTGGATAAACCTGTAATGTTTTTCACACTGGGCCGAACCTCACAGAGTGGAATTTGCTGTGTACGTTGTGCCAAGCTGCTCTGTTGGCCTCGTGGTGTCGAGGACGTTCAGCATTTAAACGTATTCTCATGAATAAAGAGTAAAACACACGTGTTCAATCACAAAGTTTCGTCCAGTTTAGGAACCTCTGTGTGTTGAGTGTCACAGAAAATGTTCTTTCTTTGGAATTTCTCCTTGAAGTGAATGAGGTGTGTCCAAACTTTTGACTGGTACTGTGGCTTTATATTGATTTATTCAAAGGATGACCGAGTCTCTCACAGACTTTCATCCAAATGTGTGAATCAGAAACAGCAGCAGCATTCAGAATATTGATCATTCTTTTGGTCAAAGCGAGGGACAGAATAAAAGCGGCATGGTAGCCACCTTGTCCTGCCACCTTGTCCCGCCACCTTGTCCCGCTACCATGTCCCGCCAGTCTTGCTGTTTTGTTGTGCTTCTTACGTAGTCAACGTGATCTACATTAAGTTTATTAAGTTCATGTTATTTCACGCGAGCCACAGCTTGGTCTCCTGGCTGAAAGTCTTGTGTTTGTCCTCCCAGTTCTTCTCTCAATGCAGAATCTGATGAAAACGTTTTTTTTGTTTAAACATTTAAACGTTTTCCAGTAAAAGTGAGTATTTGCTTTATGTGCAGTAGACGCTGCGACAAATTATACTTTCATGAATTAAAATCAGGGGATTTATAATGAATTACTTTGAATTCTGTAAAATCAAGGAAAACAAAAACCTGCATCTAGCCTTTGTATTCAATAAAAAATTAAAAAAAGGGATTTTAGGGCTAAAAAATAATCAATTTTCTTTCTATTCTTACAGAGAAGGTGACAGAGATCAAAACCAACATCTTTGTCACAAGCTTTGGTCCGGTCTCTGACACTGAAATGGTAAGAAGCTTCTTTTATTAAGTTGTCATCTCCTGTAACTAATTATTTTTATAAAATCCAGCCTTAATGCTGATTGTGTGATCTACTTATTAAAACAAGGACATCACGCATCACTACGTTCAAAGCATTTGCATCATGGCTGATTCTACCTGATTACATTATTTTTCATTTTGCTTTTATCTACACCGGCCCTATTACACCTGTCGTAGTTGTGCTACTCAATTGATGTGTTTAAATCATGCGCTTCGTCCTGTAGGAATACACTATCGACGTGTTCTTCCGTCAGAGCTGGAAAGATGAAAGGCTTTGCTTTAAAGGCCCGATGGAGATGCTTCCTCTGAATAACCTCCTGGCCAGTAACATCTGGACTCCGGACACCTTCTTCCTCAACGGCAAGAAATCCATCGCCCACAATATGACAACACCGAACAAGCTGCTGCGCCTGAAAGACGACGGGACGCTGCTCTACACCATGAGGTGAGCCCCTCCGCCGGGTTCACCGCTAACCAACCAGTCCGACGAGTGAGACGTTGAATCCCAGAGTGACGATTGCGGTGCAGGAGTGTCGTTGCAATTTCGGTTAGAGCGGACCGAGCCGTCCCTCGGGCCTGTGACAGGTGGTGGCTTGTGAGACCCCCGCTGCGGCGACGAGCCCACGCACTGTGCGCTGGTGCTGCGTTGATGCGTCATCGTGTTGTCCTCGTAGTGGACACGGGAGGGGAGGAACTTCAAATGATTGGTTTGACCTGGTGCTCCTCCTTCCCCTGCTCGCATCACAGTAACTGCATAGAATATTGACATGCATGACTGGTGTACGAGATTCATAGCGTTTTGTGTTACACCTGCATTGGACAGGTAAACAGCCGTTGAAGGGCCAATGTGAGGCAGTGTAGGATTTGTTTAATAGAAACAATATCTAATGTTCATGAAATTACATTTTTCATCGTTCTAAGTTGTTGCAAATATCGAGGGTGAAAGTGACTCTTAGGTTGTGTTTTGAGGGTTGCTTTTAGCTACTGTGTCAGATTAGGTGGACTGTTCTCCCAGCACACGAGGAACCAACGGTGATCCAAAGTCTAACCCGGTAACTTTACCACGAAGGCTACCTCAGCATAAAGGCTAACCCAGTAGCATAAAGGCTACTTCAGCAGCACAAAGGCTAACACAGTAGCACAAAGGCTACCCCAGTAGCACAAAGGCTAACCCAGAAGTACAAAGGTTAACACAGTAGCACAAAGGCTAACACAGTAGCATAAAGGCTAACACAGTAGCACAAAGGCTAACCCAGTAGCACAAAGGTTACCCCAGTAGCACAAAGGCTAACCCAGTAGCACAAATGCTAACTCAGTAGCACAAAGGCTAACACAGTAGCACAAAGGCTAACACAGTAGCATAAAGGCTAACACAGTAGCACAAAGGCTAACCCAGTAGCACAAAGGTTACCCCAGTAGCACAAAGGCTAACCCAGTAGCACAAAGGTTACCCCAGTAGCACAAAGGCTAACACAGTAGCATAAAGGCTAACACAGTAGCACAAAGGCTAACACAGTAGCATAAAGGCTAACCCAGTAGCACAAAGGCAAACCCAGAAGTACAAAGGTTAACACAGTTGCACAAAGGCTAACACAGTAGTAAAAAGGCTAACACAGTAGCACAAAGGCTAACACAGTAGCATAAAGGCTAACGTGCTGAGTCGAAGTCATTGTGATTCAAACAAAAATCACAACAGGTAGCTTAATTTATTCTCTGGTTCTTGTGTGACTGATATTCAACAGGTCTTTGTTCAGTTTTGTGCCGCCGACGATAAATCCTCCCAATAAAATATTTACACAGGAAGTTGGAGGAAACGCTTCACATGGTCAAAGACCACGAGCCATTAGCAAAGTCGTCACGATGGCCCCTGTAATGCGTTGTTAGAGAAACATTTTAAAACCTCCATTACTCTCTGAGTAAGTTCCTTTTAGAGTCAGATAGACCGTAGAGAAGCTTATGCTTTAGGTCAAATGATAGAGTCTTTACTGTAGGTGTAAAAAGTAGGTAAGTGCAGGAAAAGGTCCAGTTCATCCCTCTTAAAAGTATTGAGGTCGAAGTATAAAGCACCTTGTATATTACTTCCTATGTAGACCATCTACCAGCAGCGTGTGTTTAGAGTCATGGGGATGATGTCGGTGGCCAGGAGACGTCAGCACCCCGTCGTGCTTCACGCTGCACACAGAAGAGCTCCTTCGTTTGGTTCCCTGCTCTGTTTCAGCTCCACAGACAGGTGGCAGCCTCGCTCCACCTCGCCGCCCATCGTCCTCCTCGGGAACCTCCACGGTTTCCCTCTGGCGGCTCAGCGGCTCATTGCCGAAGGCACCGACGGAGACGGAACATGGTTCTCGCTGGCTGAACTAAACCCAAAATAAAAGAAACGATTCATAATCAGAGAGTACAATAAACTGATGATCAGGATGCTGATGATGATGATGCTGATGCTGCTGATGTGTTGTGACTTTGGGTGAATGGCTTCCGTTTTCCAGACTGACAATCTCGGCAGAGTGTCCCATGCAGCTGGAGGACTTCCCAATGGACGCTCACGCTTGTCCCCTGAAATTTGGAAGCTGTGAGTAGACACAAAGTACAGCTTTGAATGTCCAGAGAGCAGATGTTTAATGTGCTCCACATGTGTGTAACAGCGAGGCCGCATCCACCAATACGCGTGGCTTTTAAACCTCCGGTCCAATCGCATCGCATGACCCACGTACACTCGCGTGTGTTACCGACAATACACTCGAGTGTTACTGTACTCTTTATCAACAAAAGGTCGGGCTTCATTCTTCCTCTTAATATGAAGGGCATTTATTCCTTTGCCCCTATTCAGTTTCTTTGTGAACTTCGACACTTCTCAAAAGACTTTACCCACATGAGACCACGCGTACAATGCTTCACGTCTGTTATCCACGGAGGACGGGGGACGAGGTTGGACCCGGGGGGGGGGTTTGGGCACTGGGGCAGATGCACCTGTGTGTGTTCGACAGCCCGTGTCCCTCTGGTGCAAAGCCTTATTGTTGTGGCCGCGGTGCAGGAAATAACCATGTAGACGCCGACACACGACTCCTGATTAAACCATTAATCATTGTGTCAGAGCTGCTCTCCTGCCTCGGCCACACACACACACACACACACACACACACACACACACACACACACAGCCTATATTTACCACCAGGGTAACCTTTAAAAGCCTGACACCTTGCTCATGCAAAGCTAATCCAGGCGTGTGACACGTGCCCGGGCTTCCCCGTGACTCCTAAGCCGCTTAAGAGGCCTCACATTTGAGGATCTCCTGTTGTGTCGGCTTAAGATTAGGCTTTGAGGTCTTCCCTGCCGCGCAGGTGAGGAGAGTAATCGCACCTCGTGCGGTCAGCCGACCGCCATTAAGTCCCTCAGGACGCCATGACCAGGACGGGTCTAATCTGAGGAAGTAACCCCGGCCCACGTCGGTCCGCGTGCTCTCTGATGTGGATTAACAAAACCTGCTTGATTTAATTATACAAGATCTAAATACAGGTTAGGCCCGAGATTCAGGGCGATTGCTGTTGAGTCAGGAGGCGTTCACGGACGCCATGTTTGGTCTGTCGTAGACGGACGGACGGACGGGGCGTAGAGTACCGGCCCACTTTGAGCACTGGTCGTAAACACCAGTCAAGTCCACCGCAGGAAGCAAACGGGTCATTTCACTGGTAAAAAAAAAAGCAGAAAAGCACGAAAAGTTGACGTATTGATAAAAGCAAAATCCGGCATAAGTGCAACGAATACAACTTGCAGGTTAAATCATCGTGAAACATCACGCATGGAAACGCGCAGCAGGGAGTTTATGAACCGCCACAGCCGCCGTGGGGCAGTTCAGTGTGTCCCGTTGTCTCCGTTGACCCTCGCTAACCCTTCGACCTTAATGGGGGGCACTCAGCATGAGAGCCGGACCTGCCTGTTAATCACCTCTCTGGACTCTGGGTGAGCTCATCTGTGTCCTCTTCAGAATCATCTCGTGAGGAGACGGCCCGCGTCCTCAGCGGTCCAAACCTTTGGGTCCACGCGCTGAAATCTGCATCTGCAAACCACCGCCTCCGTGGAGGGAAAAGGAAGTGATGGATTTCCTCAGTGGGATCTAAATGGTCTCTCGTGCACGAAATAGGAACAGGTTTAAAAAAGGCTTGACAACTGGTCATTGTTGGATAATGTAGTTTGTAGTAGATTAAAGCTGAGCCTCCCAACTCTTCTTCAACGCTATTGAACTCAAACAGTATTTGTTGTTTCCGCTTGACCTTTTTTCTCCAGACTTTTAAACACTGTGGAATCGATCAATAACATTTTATACATTTTAAATTCGACCATCCACCAACCTTTAAGCATGCGGTCACATTTACATAAACGCAGTGAAATTGTAAAAAGCGATTTTAGTGGCAGCCAACGAGCTTTAAAACACATTTACAGACGATTGTTCTTTTAAAAATAAAGTGGAGCTATTGAATGTGGAGAAGAAGGACATGCACAGACTGCATCTTCAAAACCAAATACACTCTTTATAGTTTCAAGTTAGTGGGATCTTGTTGTCTATTTTCGAAGGTTGAGCTTTTAAAAAATTAAATCACGATCGTTCCAAAAATAAACGGACAACAACAAGAAGAATTGACTCAACCGACGACGTAACGCACTTGCACAAAGACCCAGTGGAGACAACGCGGCGCGTCTCACAGGCGATAATCCACCGTCGGGAGGCCCGAGGTCAATCTAAATCCCCCCTGTTCTAACACCACAGTTGTTGGATTAATGCTGCAGATTCAGAGCGTGTGCACGATGCGTGAGGCTGCAGCGCGGCGCCTGAGAGCCGCGGCTCCTTTTTTAGCGATTCGCGTGTTTTCAATCAGCAAATCAGCATCAACGAGGAGGAGATCAGAATCATCGTAGAGCTCAGAGGTCACTGATTGAACTGGTGAACGCACACAACATGTGCCGATTCTGCTGCTTCACAACAAGAGTGTTCAAATAAGAAAATAACTATGGGATTTTACTGTAAGCAAGGCAATATTTAATTATTTTAAAAGGTAGTTTCAACAAGAAAACCTCCACATCCATAAACTCTTGGTAAAAGTACAACGAAACAACAACAACAACAACGAAAGCCAAGAGAGGTAAACGTAATAAACAAAACATGCACCTGTAGGCTTCCGCCGCTCTGTGCGTGTGTGTGTGCGTGTGTGTGTGTGTGTGTGTGTGTGTGTGTGCGTGTGAAATTCACCATTCAATTCACTAACATCTACTCAAATCATTTGGGCCGTTTCAGCTTAAACGAGATGCAGATCACGATTGGATGTGTCCTTGTGTCTGTGCTGCTGTCGTAGATGCGTATCCCGTCTCAGAGGTGGTCTACATGTGGTCTGGGGAACAAGCCAAGTCCGTGGTGGTGGCAGAGGAAGGCTCCCGCCTCAATCAATACCATCTGATCGGTCAGACTGAAGGGACCGAGGACATCTACACCAGCCGAGGTACCGACGCGCAGCGCTCCTCGTGATGGACACCGCTTAATGCTAACAGGCTCAACTATTAGAGAGGACAACACGTTTTGTTAATGTACTAAACTATTAGAGATTCATTCAGGGAATAATTATACCCACAATTCAAGGCGGCATCCCTTCGTTCACTCACTCAGAAATAACGGAAATAAATGCCACTGAGCTTTTTACAGCCCCTCCACTGAGGGACCTTAAAGCGCTGCTTTGTAACGGCGCTCAAACACCCTTTTTTCTCGCCATTATTCTTTGTATGCAGCCGTCTTTTTTCCCACAGCCAAATAAGTGCGTCGTTTCTGTAACCAATCAGCAGTAAAAAAGCAGCTACGCAAGATGTGTTTTCCGTCGTTAGTTCTTTGTGACTGCAGAGAACTGAGAAGGATTAAACATAAATATACCAGATGATGAGCTCACTTCACCTCCCTTCATCGTCTGTTACAATGACACTTAATGTTGTATTTATATATATAAATAGATCCATCAGCATGTTAACCCCCCCCCCCGCCCCCCCCGCCCAGCTCCGTGTTGTTATCACAGTGTCCCAAACAAATGAATCACAAGGATTTGGGAACGTGTCGGCCAGCTGTCTCTGACAGAGACCACAGAAATCACTTATCCGGGTGTGTCGGGTTAATCCATACGCAGGCCCATCAGTTGTGCTTTTACCCAGTGATGTCACCGCCGCCGGCGGGGACACATTAGTTGGGGGGGGGGGGCGGGGGGGAGGTTGTACGGCGTCTGCTCAACTCTGCTATGTAAATGATAACGGATGCGTGCAGGTTGTTCATGTGTCGCCGTGCTTCATTGGGTTGATGCAGCCAAACGTGGTCGCCCCCTCAGCCCCCCCCCCACCCACACACACCCCTCACGCCCCCTCCGACACCCAGCATGCGCTGCTCAGACAAACACACCACGGCCTTAATTAGCTTTGCTAATCTGAGGTACAAGCCCTCTTTAACAAGCCGAGAACAGCTCAGCAAAGCCAAAGGGTGACCTTTGACCTTTACAGGTTAAGCCCGGGAGCGTGAAAACACAGACACAGGAATTTGTCGTAGGAGACAACCGTCGCTATGTCTTCTGCACTCACCAGTCCACCAGCATCGCCGCGTCGTTCTCCCCCACGAACGGCAGCTCGCCGCCGACGCTCCCCAAGCCCGCCAGTAAAATCCACCACAACCGCATCTTCTTCCCTTCACGCCTGTGAGGCTTCCGTCCGGTTCCGGGGTCCCGTCATCAGGAGGTCAGGACAGAGCGGGGTCGCGCCTGCCGACCTCGCCCCCCCCTCCCGGCTCCCCCCCTCCTCACAGCGAGCTCGTCCTCGGAGCGAAGGCAGCGCAGCGTGTCCCCCCTTCGTTAAAGACACGATGCTCGTTGCCGCATGGCGCAAACTTTCTCACCCTTCCTCCTCCCCCCCCCTCTGCCGGCGTCCCTCTCAACCCCTCCCTCTCGCCCCGGCCTCACTCATCCGACCTGGACACCTGCTGGTAATCTCCGCTGATCCAAGGTCTGTTTTCGGACGTCAGAACAGAAAGGATGTGTGTCCCCCCCCATCAGGAGTGTCCTGAATGGGGCCGGCTGTCCGTCCCTCTCACACTCAGAGGGGGAGAGAGAGGGAGAGAGAGAGGGAGAGAGAGAGGGAGAGAGAGAGGGAGAGAGAGAGGGAGAGAGACACGCACAGGATGCAGATTGTGTCGAGGGATTAGCGGGACAGAAAAACCTGATGTTGAGAAAGCAGCAGCCGTCTGTGGATTTCCTTTAGTGCATCAGAGGGACGGAGACCGTCAGCTGATTGACCGGTGAAGTGAAGGTTTACTCGCCAAAGCCGCTTTGTCAATGAGTCGGTTTAAGTTGAGCGGCCGCACGAGGAAGCCAACACAGCCGAAAACTGCACTTCACATGGCGCCAAGCTGGACCTCAAACAGGAACTTGGGGCGACGGTGGCGCATGAAGCGAACGCTGGCTGCTACATGTCCCCGTGTCCCCGTGTCCAAGTGTCCCTGAGCAGGACACCTAATTCCTGACTGATCCCCGGGCGCCTTTAAAGCAGCACACTGCTCCCACTACTTTTTTTACCATGTCGTACCCAGTAAACGTTATTAACCCCAATAAATGAACAGTCAACACAAAATCCCCTCAGGGTTCGTGTACTCCTCCGTGAAGTGTTTTCTCATCTGTTTAAGAGCTTCGATGAAACACCATCAGTTTTTCTTTAATACAACTCAGTGGCCTCTTGTCGCGCCGAATCTTTGAACATTTCCTCCAGTGCCCGAGTCATCCGCCGCGTGTCCCCGTCCTCTGTCTCGTTGTTCACCTGCAGGTCAATACACCGTGATGATGGCTCACTTCTACCTGAAGAGGAAGATCGGCTACTTCGTCATCCAGACCTACATGCCGTGCTTCATGACTGTCATCCTGTCGCAGGTCTCCTTTTGGCTCAACAGGGAGTCGGTGCCGGCGCGCACCGTCTTTGGTGAGCCGGCGCGGTGAAGTCGCGCTGCAAATGGAAACACTTTGTTCTCGCTTGCGCGGTCGATGTGTACGTTCGGCCAAAGGTGACCCGGCTTTCTGCTCCACCAGGTGTGACCACCGTGCTCACCATGACCACCCTCAGCATCAGCGCTCGCAACTCGCTGCCCAAAGTGGCCTACGCCACCGCCATGGACTGGTTCATCGCCGTGTGCTACGCCTTCGTCTTCTCCGCGCTCATCGAGTTCGCCACGGTCAACTACTTCACCAAGAGGAGCTGGGCCTGGGATGGAAAGAAGGCGATGGAGGCCCAGCAGCCCAAGGTGTGTGTGTGTGTGTGTGTGTGTGGAGACCCAGCTGACTAACGTTGTGGGGTCCTCACCATTGTCATGTTATTATATCATGTTGTTGTTGTGTGAATGTCTGGATGTCGTTTTTCATAGTATCGTCTCTTGGTTGGTGACTGAAAAAAGGGAAAAACTAAGTGCTGATCTACATCTGCGGTTACGTTATGAAAAATATCCCTCCCGAAATCCGCGGTTTTCTAGCATGTTACATTACAAGTTAATGCCACAGCAGCTTTTGAGTGGCTTTTCTTTTCTTCTCGACTGCTTTCATTCCATCTCCTTTGTGGAAATGGAGAAAGGAGTCACACATGATTAGGAATTAAGAGATGAATCGGCGTCAGTCGGTCAGTGTTGTTCCAGTTCCTCGCCGCCCAAGGACATCGATCGCCACTTTCCATCTTTCATTCTTGCCTTTGTGTTTTTGTGTATGTGCGCGTGTTACTGTGCTGTTAACCGAAGTGTGTCTCTGCTCTTTGCTGTGTTTCTTTGGCCCCACAGAAGAAGGACCATTTGGCTCTGTCTAAAAAGCCCAACAACACCTGTTTGTCCGGCGTGAATTACACGACCAACCTCACGAAGGACTCGTCCATCTCTACCATCTCCAACAGCACGGCTGTTCAGCTCAAACCTTCTGAGACCAAGGCCCCGGACCCCAAAAAGACTTACAACAGTGTCAGCAAGATCGACAAGATGTCCAGAATCGTATTCCCGGTGCTTTTTGGGACCTTCAACCTGGTGTACTGGGCCACGTATCTCAACAGGGAGCCAGTGAAAAAAGGAGCAGTTTAAGATCTTCTCATCATCATGAAGACCACTTCAGGATGTCACCAGTGGAACGCAGACAAGAAACAACACTACTTTTACTATAGAATCCCCTTTACACTTGGCATTAAAACGTGGTTTGGCTGCTCGGATAGAGCGTGAAGTCCAGGTGTAAATGCACCCAACGCGCGTCAAGGACGGGTTGTGATCTAACTGACCACCTCTCTCACCACATGTTGGAGGAACATCTTGCAGGATTGATCCGAAAACTACGGAGAAACGACCATCGGCAAGTTAGCGAGCTACGCTACTGGCGAGAAAGGACATTCATCAAGACGAGACCGAGGGGCTTTCTCGTCGGTCAAAGGTACACATGTGAACCTTTCTTATCCCAAGTAAGTCATGGAGAAGGTTTGTGGGTGCAATACAAGCAGGAGGAGGAAGTGACGTTCGGTGGTTTGAGTGGAACAGAGTAAATGCAATCTGAATATGAGACACGGTTTAATGCCAGGTGCAAAGAGGTAAATGGAAGTGTTTTTTTAGGTCATTGGATAACATTGCATGTCCGTCAACTTCATGTTGCCTTGAGTTACGATTTTTTTTCCCTAAAAACTGTTTAATCTCATTTTAGAACTTCAGTCACTGGTTCGTTTCTGCCAAATTGTGAAATGTTTTTAATTTTCCTCGAGTCCGCAGTAGACGTGTACAGCCAGGCCGAATGCTATGCAAAGCTACATCTCTACATGTGTCACTGCGCCAGAGCAGCTCTCACTTTGTACAGAGGAGCCGGAGGCGCAGGTGTACGAGGTCGGGCCGGGGGAACAGTGAGGACTTTGCTTCCTTGTCAAAAGCAGATGAATAGCCATGCTAAATGTGTTGCCTTCAGAGTGTGATTACTCATTTTGAATGCACTGAAATCTCCTGCAGTTACTTTTGCCAGAAGCCACATTTAACTTTCACTGACTACGTTTGCATTCACATTAATGTACCGTTAATATTCTGAATAATACAAGACAATATTCTCAATTTAATGTTGAAGTAATAATCTGTTTGGGTATTCAGTTCTATTTCAGGTGGCTCCTTTTCAGATGAAAACGTGTGTGATTTGTCGATATTTTGCTGGTTTTAGGAGGTTTTTTACAGTTTGTAAAGTTTGAACAGAGACGCACGTCCAGAAGTAAAAAAAGGAGAAACCCTCCTACTTATAAACATTATGAAGGACTTGGATATCAACTGGTTTTTGGATACAATTATCTCAACGCCGACCTTTTCGATGGAACACTTTGGTAAAAACAGATCGTGGCGCTAAGAAGCGAAGCAGCAGAAGAAGCTCCTGATCCTTTCACTCTTCCAAATTCCAACGTGATGAACAACACGCTGGGACGCAGAAGAGAGCGAGTCCGTCACTGGTGATGAAGAAGAGGAGTAGGAAGAGGCACGAGGTCAACAACGTCTGTGAACGGGAATATGAGTGGACTATTCAGTTTTATCAGCCGTGTCAACACGTATTGTTTTTTTTCATAATAACAACTGTATGGTGCTTGTAGGCGTAGTCATTGAATCGTGGTCTGGTTTTGCTACTTCTTTTGCTATTTCCTCAAAATTTTGAAATGCCACTTTTTCATGAAGATGAGTTTTTAAATGAGGACGGATTCTGAGCTGACGTGACGGTGGCACCTTCTGTTTCCAGGGCACCATGTTGAAAATCCTGTTTGTACGGATGCACAGTTGTAGTTTAAGGAACTTGTATATATGCCCTGCTTTTAGAAAAGCACCACTAAGCCAGTAAGGTTAGCTTCTATGTGATATGCCTCTCAGTGTTACTCTAGTGCTTCATTGGATGGATGTTCAGACGGGATAGCTTCTTTTCTAGTAGTAGTAGTAGGAGTAGTTCATTTTCAGTTGAGCTTGGAGGGAATCCTGCACATATTCCTGATACATACACACATACATACTACATACGTGCATACATACGTGCATACATACATACATACATACATACATACATACATACATACATGCATACATGCATACATACCTTCATGCATACATGCATGCATACATGCATGCATACATACATGCATACATACATACATACATGCATGCATACATGCATGCATGCATACATGCATACATGCATACATACATACATACATACATACATGCATACATACATGCATGCATACATGCATGCATACATACATACATACATACATACATACATACATACATAGTATGTATTATACATACATTTGGATGCTCTGAGCAGGACCACTTGTTTGTCATCATTGTGAGTAACAGCTGTAGTTAAGAGACTGACTTGAGCTAATAAGGAAAATCCAAGGGACTAAAAGTCGTGAGGATTATTGCGTTCGGATCATTATTGTTTTTTTGGCAAACCTGATGAGGTCAAGTGGGGTCAGCGGGTCAGGGGAGGAACTTGAGGTGCTGGTTTTGTTCACTAAACCTAAAAGTAGTTAAGAATGCAGTTTTAAAACTGAAATGGTGATATGAAGCGTGTCTTGGTTGAGGAATGTAAGCGTTGATACGATGATAACATTTGAATCTGGTGACTTACTTCACGCTGAAGAACAGATTTCCATCTGGAGTCACTTCCACCAGTTGGTCAAGTTACAGTTTATATCAAAGTCTGTCAAATGTCTTCACTTCTTCACAACAAAAGTTTTTGAGGTCACAGTGAAACTCTTTTTTAAACTTTTATTTCATTTTTTTATTTCATTTTTTTTATTTCATTTTTGAACACATCAAGCAACGATTAACCAATAAAATAAGGTTAAATAAGGTTAATTTCATAAGCACCTTTCAAACGGAAATGATTGACAAGACACAAACAAGATGAAAGGGAAAGAAGAAGAAAAGACCAAAGCACCCCAATTAACGCCTACGAAAAATGATGAAAGAAAAAGAAAAAGCCAATATTAAATAATTGTTCATTTGATTTCAAAGTGATAAAAGGTAAATACGATCAAGTTGTAATAAGAAATATAAAAAGAAGGGTTGTTGTTTAAAAAGTTCTAGAAATGCTGAAAGACATTCTTCTAGAGAGCCCGGCTAGCGTTTCCCTCTGGTTTTATGCTAAGCTAAGCTAAGAATGCACAGACGTAGGAGTGGTATTGATCTTCTCACGTTACTCGATCAGAAGGAACTCGAGCCTTTTACATGATGATGCTGCTAAACAGCACGCAGTCGCCTCGTCTCCGGCGTCGATCTGAATGTGATCATGTGACTTCATGCCTTTTGTGTGGCCTGCCTCTATTCACACACACACACACACACACACACACACACACACACACACACACACACACACACACGTGTGTATTTTTAGGTGCAGGCAGCTCTTTAAATGCAAATATCTGAAGCAATAAGTAATTCTCATACAATTAATGACTTCCGTTTGTGGTGATAATTGACTTCAACTTTGTTGACGTCTTTCTATCCAGATTTGACGACAGTCTTTTTCTATAACGGCCCTGATTCCCTCTCGCTCAGCCCCTCCATCTCTGGAAGCACAGTTCTCTCTGACCATGATCTATTATTCATTTATTTTTGTAAAGTACTTGCACAGATCCAAGGGTCCGGGACACAATGAAGACCTAAACTTTGCTTTCTTTCTTACTTGTTATGCGGAACTGATTCCCAATAAAGCTTCACTGACTCCCTCAGTCTGCCATTATTGGTCAAGATGCTCAGATAACAAAAGCCTCCATGTTGATTGTTTCTCTCCTGAGAGATTACAGAAAAAGATGCAGCATGATGCCTCGGAATGACAAATGAAAGTACGGTTTATATTGATGTGTTTCTGCGGTCGATGTGATAAAAAGCTCCCTTAATCTTCCTTGATGGAACAACGCTCTGCACGTGCGGCCTGTCCTCTGATTATACGCATGCATGCAGATCACGCAGCCTGTATGGCTGGTGGGCTAGCAAATCCATCTTGGGGGGTCTCAACATCTGGCTCGCATCTGTTTGTCAAGGATTTAGCTCCATTTAAGTTGCTTTCTCCTTTCAGCTGGTCCGTGGCTTCCTCTGCAAATTAAGCCGCCACTGATGGAAGCGTATAGCTGGAGGAGCAGAGATGGACCTCTTTCCTCCACAGTAACAATAAATCCTCATCCTCATCGAGGAAAACTCCATCAAACATGCTGCTTAAACACACTGGACTCCGACCCAAGCAAACTCCCTCCATGCACACTACGTAGAAACAAAGTCCATTAAAACTTTAACCTATTTATTATGTATTTTTAAGAGAGATTGATACATGCTGCTGGACTTTTTTTGCAGGAGGAATAAGGAGAGACTCTTACGAAGCGTCCAAAAACTCTTCATGAAATCAAAAGCTTTTATTAGAACTCATTTTCACACAAAATAAAGGCTGTGGATTCAAATCCCTCCCATCCAAATGCCGACTGCGTCCCCAGTTGAAGCCGAAGCAAACACAGTGAACGATTACATAGTGTGTACATATTTGTATGATGTAAGCATCTTTATGCTAAGCTAAGCTAAGCTGCTGCTGGCTGACAATCTTCTTACACACAGAGGAGACAGATGTGTGCAGCAAGAACACTATAAACAGTCATCAGTGAGGAGTTTACAGGCTGCAGCTTTAAGAATATCTATTGTTCAAATATGAAGCAGTTTTTATTATCTACACCACTTCCTCATATAAAACATTTGTAATCTTTGAAATCGTGTGGCCTGTGGATTCCAGCGCATTTCGCTGTTATTAGGGTCAATGTTCCTCCTACGGAACCTTTATGACACCAGGGACAAACATTTTAGAAAGCATACAAAGTATTAAGCAATCGAATTATAATTTATTTTGTCTAAATCATCGGGTCACCTTAATTAAAGTCCTGCAGTAGCACCCGGTTAATAACAGACATCTCAAAAGAATGCAGTAACAAAAGGATGAAGAAAACAAATAGGTCAAATAAAACAAGACATAAAAAGTGATCAGAAAGTTGAAGAAAAAAAAGTCTTGTGTTTGATGCAAAAAAGCTGAAAAGTAAAAATAAAACTTACATTACCAGCGTGACCTTTGATCAAATTCACGTGACCTTCTGTTTCCTTCCGAGGCGATGCACGCAGCAGGGACGTGTTCGTCATGTATGCAGAGATATGAAGCCTCTTCAAACAGTCAGGTAATTAACGAGATCTGGGGTCTCTGTCTTTGAAAGGTCGCAAGGAAACTAAATGATGCACGGGAATAAAAGTCACCAGCCCTGAAGGTAAAAGTACGTTTTTAATCCCCATTCCCTCAGAATTCAGCCGTAGAAATGTCTTCAGTCCACCTTTCGTGCTGCACGTTGAACCGTCTGAATCAGTGTGCAGAGGTCAGGCGTCGAGCAGGTGTTTCCCATCATGCACTGCGTGATGTCAGAGCAGGTCGGACACAAATCCCACCGGCGTGCATCGCGGGGACGGAGTAGTCGCCCCTGTGCACAGAGCAGCCAGGCTGACCTGCCGCCGCGTAAGTGAACACAGGTGCAATTAGTAGCATGAAATATGGCTCTGTGCTCACAGGAAGGACATTCAATAAAATGGGAGCATACGTGACGTAATTAATCACACCACGTGTTCATCTCGTGACGTCATGGCTGCCGACCGGAGACACTCGTTGTAGAAAATAGTTCCTGTGAAATGAAGTGAACTGACTCACAGTAACTTTAAGTAAACTGTATGAATGGACTCCCTGCAGGGATTAACAGCTGATTTGCCCCCAGAGTCTCTTTGGAACCAGCAGAGGGCGACAGCAGAGAACTAAACAGAAATAGAAAGACTTGTACTCCTGGTCGAGTCTCTGGATTCTTTTATTCTCACTCTCATGATGAGAACTCAAGAGTCTAATTATTTCATACCATCCAAAGTCAACCGGACCTACATTTATCATCATTGACCTCATAATAATAATAGTAATCATAATAACAGTAATAGCAGCTTCCAGAATCTTTTCATCTTCACTGAGATTCTTCTGAAAGGATGCTGATGAAATCAGTCTCACGATTCCCTGAATATGCGATTTAATATTTACCTCATAATACGCAGCATATCTTTGCGTGTTAGTCACTGTCACTTATTCTTTATCAAAGGGACCCTCCGTTTACCTGCTCCGATGATGTCATCGTCACGTTGCCAGGGTCACCGGCTCGGGCTTAATAACGGAAACGCAGCATTCAGTGTGTTTTGCATCTTGGCTCATTTTAATAGCAAAGTGTCATCTCTTACCTCCGATGCACTGGTGCTGACTTCTTCCTGACTTCATGGTGTCGCACCGAGTAACTCGATAGAATCGCAGCGACTAGATCCTCCTGAGAGGAGACACAAACACCTACAGAGGCACAATGAACCCACATTGAACGCTTAGCCGGATGAACGTCAACGATATGTATGTGTGTGTGTGTACATATCATAAATATGTATGTATATATATATATATATATATATATATATATATATATATATATATATATATAGATGACTGTATATCATACATACCTATTGTATATATAAAGAGAGAAGAGGAGAGAAGGAGAGAGACAAAGAGAGATAGAGAGAGAGAAAGAGAGATAGAGAAGAGAGAGGGAGATCTGGAAAAGGTGCTGCTGCAACAAAACAAAAATCCCTTTTCTGAAAGTCAAAATCTGTCCATGCGTTTCATATCAGCGGACAATATTTATTGTCCTATTTAATTAATGCAATTGTCTTCATTATAAAACTGCTGTATTGCATTCAGGCAAACAAGGATTGCGTTTTCCTTTGTTCCACCAGGACGTTTAAAGGAGCTTTTGTTGTAACGAGTCCCCGCTGGTCCGGATCGATCCAGACCCACCTGGAGTCTCTGCATCCGGCACGTTGCGCACCTGCGCGAGAGGAGGTCGCGGTCCGGGGGGAGGGAGGAGGGGTGAGGGGGGGGAGTGACACCTCCGTTGGATTACGAACCACGCGGAGCTCCTCGGTCGCGCCGACTCGGGTCCCCCGAGACGAACATGTCTCCCAAAGTCCTGGCGTATGTCCTCCTGCTGTCTGTCCTTCTCACCTGGTGAGACGGAGCGAGAGACGCTTTGCGTTCGCGGCTGTTTTGATCAAATCCAAACTTGGTGTTTGTTTCTCCCGCGCGGAAACTTTATTCCGCGGGAATAAGGGACACGCGGTGGTTTCCCGCGGAGACGCATCAGCTCTGTCTCACTTTGCCTCCACAGCTGTGTGGCTCCGGGGGACGAGGAGGAGGACTACGGGGGGGACGTCGCCGCGAGCCAGATGCTGGCCCCCAAAGCGCAGGACACCGACGCCACGGAGATACTGAACGCGCTGCTGAGGGAGTACGACAAGAAGCTGCGGCCGGACATCGGAGGTAAAGTTCCTCCGCCGCCCGGTCCCCGCCGGTCCCCGTCGGTGGGACAAACGAGCAGGTGTGTCGGGTCGCGAGGGACGCAGGAGTTGTTGTTTAACGTCAAACGGCGCCACCTATGGAGGTCACGAGGCGGTGACACCATCGGTCGGAAGGTGTCGGACGTTATGCACCTGATCAATAGCGTGTGTGTAATAAATATGTTGCTATTGACATCGCAAGTCAAGTCAATAGCTCCTCCTCTATAGTGAATTATTAAAGGCGCAACATTTAATGTTGCATGTTGCGATGCAACATTTAATGTTGCATGTTGCAATGCATGGGAACGTACATGTTGAGGCTGAGACGATCGGTTAGAGGTTGAGGGGGGTCAAGGTCATGACCCGTCGGTCACCCGTCGGTCTCCCATCGGTCAGCCGTCGGTCACCTGTCTGGCACCCGTCAGTCACCCATCTGTCACCTGTCAGTCAGCCGTCTGTCACCCGTCTGCCACTCGTCAGTCACCTGCCAGTCACCCTTCTGTCAGCCGTCAGTCAGCCGTCAGTCAGCCGTCTGTCACCCGTCAGTCACCCTTCTGTCACCCGTCAGTCACCCGTCGGTCAGCCGTCGGTCAGCCGTCGGTCACCCGTCGGTCACCCGTCTGTCACTCGTCAGTCACCTGCCAGTCATCCGTCAGTCACCCGTCTGTCACCCGTCTGTCACTCGTCAGTCACCTGCCAGCCACCCGTCAGCCACCCGTCAGTCACCCGTCGGTCAGCCGTCGGTCAGCCGTCGGTCACCCGTCGGTCACCCGTCGGTCAGCCGTCGGTCACCCGTCGGTCACCCGTCGGTCAGTGGGATTCACGATATCGGCCCCTGGTAGCTGGTGGTGGTGTAGTGGACATGTAGCTCTCTCCAGGTTCCCCCTCACGGAGACACTGTTAGCGCTGTTTGCGCCGCTATCTGCTAGCCTGCGGCTCAGTCATCGCTGTGTTGAGAGCGCAGCGTTTTCTCCTTCGAGCTCGCCGTCACACTCTGACCCTCGCCATGGTCACTGTTCTAAGCTCACTGGGTCGACCAGAGCATCAAACTGTGACTGAGTGAAAACATCCTGGTGTCAATAACAACAAGTAGAACTTAAACAGCACAAAACACTATAAATCAACAACAGTTTGGGACGGGAACACGTGTCTCCTTTTGGGGGGATCTTTATCTTTAGTCAGCACTTTCCTGCCCCATTTTAATAATGAATAATCACAATGATGCGTATTTACATCATTGTGGATCGAATGTCGATATTTGACTTGTGAGAATGGGTTGTACATACGTTCTAAATGTCATACAGAGAACCACTGAGCAGCGTATTCATATAATTGTCATTATCTTCATAATCTATAATAATAAAGTCCTAGTTACGTAAATCCTTTTTTGATTGTAACCTCCAATCTTGTTTGTTTGTAGCTGACCTGCAGGTCCAAATTGAACTGATTTGCATATCCTCATGAATATAAATTACATTTAGAGGTTACAACTTTTAGAGCAGGGTTTATATCCGCAGTGTGTGAGGATGTGAGATGCTGCTCGGCCCTGCTGCAGTTTCCCGTCGGCGTGACGGAGGTATTCTGCCACCTGTGGTTTGTAATGAGGACGTAATAAGAGCCGACGTACCACAGAGAGAGAAGGTTTCGATCCATCTGAGGAACTAAACCACTATCCAGCTGAAGGTGGTCCTTCTCTGGCCATGTCCTGTTGACAAACACCTGTTGGTGTCTCGCCACGGTTTCGGCTGTCGCTATGGACACAGAGCTCTGTTGTCTGGGGCTCGCGGAGAGGAGACACACCTCGGTGCAACCGGGCGTCTCCCGGGGCGGCGGAGAAGACCTGTTGGTGTCCTGACAGGGTTGGACTCCTCCATCACAGCTCCAGTGCCACTTCTCCTGGTGTCACCGCCTCCTCGCGCCACTTGGCCTCTGGCAGAAAACTCGGACCTCTCACAGATCTCTCCCGCCTCACACATCTGGGCCACTTTAAACATCTTAACATACCTACAAACATCTTACAGTGGTTATAAATGGTCACCTCCTCCTGTCCATCTCATGAATTGGTCGTCTATCTTGTGGACTATTTTTCCTTATTTGCTTCACTGAAAACAGCGGCAGGGAAAAACAGTGGGTGTTTATTCTGACCTGGTTTCCCCACAGAAGGAGAATAATATATTAGAGAGAATACATTCCTTGTCATTACTGCTGAGCTTTTTGAAATGTCCCCTGTTGTCAAAGGCCGTGAAGTCAAACATCAGCTCACAACAACAATCTCACCTCAAGGTTTATTGAACCTTTATTCGATGTCACAAGAACGAGCTGAAAGGCTTTAGAGCTCCGTACAGCCGGATCCTCTTCCCGGGTATTTCACCACCACGTGTGGTCAGTACATCACGTCCAATGCATTGAGTGTGTGTGTGGTGGTGCTACGCGTCTCGGAAATGACAGGCCACTAATTAGTAATCCAGTTAAACAGGGAAATATAGAGATATATTTTAAGTTGTGCGTTATGCGGAGAAGTGTCGCATTATTAAATCATTTTTACTCCCGCTTGAAGAGGTTAATGTCAACGGTTTATTTAAATAAATTACGAAGGCGCAAACATTCAACTTGTCATTACCGATCAGCTGTTTCTCCTCTCATTCATGTTCCATACATTCCAAAGGTTTGATTAAAATTCAAACAATTGAATCAATTCAATAGAAACCCAAGAAGGGTTCAGCTGTCGTAAACAGAGCGACCTTTTCACAAAACACACACACACACACACACACATTCCACGGGGCACTACTGGGTCTCACACACATCCCTCCCTGCTTGTTGCTGACTAACTGGAAAATGTCAAAGATAAATAGAATATTTGCAATTCACTTTATTAATGATTAATTCATTATTTTATTGCCTAAACACCCCGAGAAGGGAATCGTTGCTATTGGCGCCGGTCCTCTGAAGGCAGATGGTGCTTTGAGGTCATTTGACCTTGAATAAATGTGCCTCTTTAAAACGTGCGTTGGTTACACAGCAATTCTCCCACAGGGCAGCAAGGTGCAGCGATAGAGGTCTTCCTCTCTCAGTTGAAGACGTGTTCAATCTCCCGGTATCAGCGAGAGGAGGAAAGACAGACGGAGGTTGTGTGTGACGTCACCGAACTCTGTAACATCGACAGAGCACGATGTCATCGACAGCACGAAGTCATCGACAGCACGAAGTCATCGACAGCACGAAGTCATCGACAGAGCACGATGTCATCGACAGAGCACGAAGTCATCGACAGAGCACGAAGTCATCGACAGAGCACTGAAGTCATCGACGCAGCACCAAGTCATCGACAGCACGATGTCATCGACAGCACGATGTCATCGACAGCACGATGTCATCGACAGAGCACGAAGTCATCGACAGAGCACCAAGTCATCGACAGCACGATGTCATCGACAGCACGATGTCATCGACAGCTACTGTAGCGCGACAGAGCACGATGTCATCGACAGAGCACAATGTCATCGACAGAGCACCAAGTCATCGACAGCACGATGTCATCGACAGCACGATGTCATCGACAGAGCACGATGTCATCGACAGAGCACGATGTCATCGACAGAGCACAATGTCATCGACAGAGCACGATGTCATCGACAGCACGATGTCATCGACAGCACGATGTCATCGACAGAGCACGATGTCATCGACAGAGCACCAAGTCATCGACAGCACGATGTCATCGACAGCACGATGTCATCGACAGAGCACAATGTCATCGACAGAGCACCAAGTCATCGACAGCACGATGTCATCGACAGAGCACGATGTCATCGACAGCACGAAGTCATCGACAGCACGAAGTCATCGATAGCACGAAGTCATCGACAGAGCACGAAGTCATCGACAGCACGAAGTCATCGACACAGCACGATGTCATCGACAGCACGAAGTCATCGACAGTGAAGCACCATCGACAGCACGAAGTCATCGACAGCACGAAGTCATCGACAGAGCACGAAGTCATCGACAGCACGATGTCATCGAC